AATGTAATTTTATTAATATTCGTGATTGATTTATCTTATCGTCATCAGCAGCTGCGAAGTTGTTTTTACTCCTATGTGTTGTTCCACAGTCTAAAAATTTTGTTTGCATAAAGGGTAACGGATAATACTGGGCGTTCATCTATAAAGTGTCACATTTTAACAGTTTAGTTGGTTCAACATTTTGCTTATGTTTTTCATAATTGTAAATTTTTGTCCGAATTAAACGAAAAAATAAAAACGCAGATATGGAGCTTATTTTAAATGGAACACGCTGTATCTCTAACACTTATTTCTCCATTAATAACATTCTCTAATTATTATAAAGAAGTTATATGAGAATGCTGCAGCCAAATTCACGTATAAATTCAACCATACTGAACTTTCCACTGGATGTAAACTCTACGAAAATTTAAACTTTATTGCATGTACTGATTAGATGTCTCTGTTATAACAAGGTTAAAACTATTTAGAACTATTCTCTTTAAAGATTTGAAGTTTTTGTGGAAAAAAACTGGATAATCTTATACCATTATCCTTTAGAGAACCTTGTTATAGGAACAATTGTACTTAGAAACAATACATTGATTGATTGATGATAAACTAATTGGCAAAGATTTTTTGAAGCATTTTTGCAGTAACGGTATATTAACACCTGATATAAATTTGTAGAATAAGGACTGTAATATCATTCCTTAATCTCTTATTATTAAATCAGATGATGAGCTCGCATGTATCTCTGACCACACGTTTCAGCTCTTCATTTTTGAGGAGTTCTGTCATAATAATTGCACAGAACGATTTTTCAGAAAGTTTTGCGAAAATAATGTAAATTCTTTTATAGATTTGGTATCCAACACAGATTGGAATAATTTTCTCTACAATATTCAATCTGACGAATTAGATAAAAATTTTAACACTTTTTACGAAAAACTGACACAAATATTTATATCAAGTTTTCCATTTACAAAAAGAGGAAAAGTCTCGAACAGGAAGAAAACCTATTGGTTTAATAGAGAATTAAGAGAGCTGAGTCGTGCGGTACACGAGATGCATCAAGTAAACAAAAGAATAAAAAATGATCTATATAATAAAAAATACAAAGGACTTAAATCCCATTACAACAAAAAACTTAAATACGCAAAGAAAACTCACCGCAATTTAAGGTTAATGAAATCTGATAACATAAGTAGGGAAAGTTGGGCAATAGTCAGCGAAAATAGCAACCATAAAAGTAAATCCTCTTCTATAACCAGCATAATCGTTGGTGGTGAAACACTACAAGGCGGATACAAAATCTGTGAAATTTTTAACAAATATTTTGCTGATCTTGCTAACAATAGCAAGCAGCCTCAAAATCTAACGCCTGATTTTAAAATACACTCAAGCTCGATGTTACTCTACCCTACTACAAGAGTAGAGATAAGACAAGTAATTAGAAAAGTATGCCGTAAGAAATCATTTGGAATCGATAAAATACCGGGCACTTGGTTAATCTCTATTAAAGATATTATAGCTCCTATTCTATCATATTTAGTCAATTTGAGCTTCCTCCGGGGCGAGTATCCACAGGCCTTAAAAAAGTCAAAAATCGTACCTATTTTTATTTTATTTTTAAAAACAACATTCAACATTATTTAAGGAACTTCAGATCATGACACGTCCATCATTATATATTTATTCCGTTTTGATTTACGTCAAAAGTAACATGATAAGATGGAATAGGAGATGTGACTCGCACGAACATGACACACGGCAAAGAGATTACTTGGACGTTCCATTCTCTAGACTGCATATCGGGCAACAAAACCCAAGGTATTTGAAAGTATATAACATAGCTTTAAATTTCTGTAAATGCTTTGAAGAAACTGATAGTTAATCTGTGTTTAAGAAAAGAATTAAGACCTTTTTAACTGTTAGATGTCTTTACTCAGTAGATGATTTTTTTTTAAATGTATTGTTTAAACACTGTATTTTAATGTGATGTGACGTGCTTAATATACCCATATATGTGTTATATTTAGTATCGAAAAGCGAAATCTATCTATCTATCTATCTATCTATCTATTCGATTAAGTTTTTGTTCTAAAAACAACTGTTAGAGTGCCAGAACAAAATTTTTCAGCAAATATTGAAACTTAAGCGCAAGCAAAAACCTGAAGCAAATTTACAAAATTCAATGACAAGATTTATTTGCACAAAAGTGAATACAAAACATATAAATTGTCTACTTCGAAATTGGTTGTACGAAATAACCAATTTGATTAAAAATATTGCCAGCGTTGCTAGCTTGGGATTGATAAAAAGTTGGTCCGATATTTTCATTTAAGCGGAAAAGAAAACCGTATGTTAATTTTAAGTTACCCAGTATTGAATTTCGATACTTTATACACTCACAGAGCATATCACGCTGCAATAATTCTAATAATAATTTTGATAAAAAATTCCCCGATTAAAGATTTCATTAAATTATGTTCGATGACACTTGACATGTTTATTCTAGGTTATCAAGCTGACGTTGTACCTAAGTAGATACATTTACAGTAGCCAGTGTATTTTTTTCGTTTTGAGATATATCTCGCTATATTTTTTCCACTCGAAATAACTGGTAAACAGTTAGAGAGAGGAAACAAGGTTCAGGCAAAGTTGTAAATTGGATAAACTATAAGCTAAAAGAATGTTTTAGACCTACTAAAGAACCCTTAAATTAACATTAAAAAATTGGGTATTTCATCTATACTAACTGTCCCACGGGCATGTTATGGTAGCAAAAATTTAAAAATGTGTAATTAAACTAATGTTCGTTGGACAAACTGGCTAAAATATTTTCAAGATGGCGGTCCATCTGGATATATCGGTAGCGTTTTAAATATGTATTATACATTATTGATTTTTTGGATTCACTGGAAAATTCTAGATCAAATTTCGTGGATAATGACGCTTGTAAACCGTTTATTAACATGTAGAAAATAGCCTGTTGAATAAGTTTGGTTAGTAATTTCGATTATTAATAATACAGCACGTTGAAAAAATAATAACCAAAATGAAATTACAACAAACTGGCGAAAATATTTTTTTCTTGTCTTATCTTATTTAGAATTAAAAATCACCATATGCAGAGGATTATGAAAAAATCTCAAAAACTTTGGATTCCGTCAAAGCGCAAGCAAAAAAATCAAATTAACGTTTTTCGATTGTACACCCTGTAGAAGAAATGATGGAATAGATAGACAGTGTACGCCCTCTATAAAGCTGATTAAAAATAATGTCCGCTGATAAGACGTCACCATCCAATTATTCATTTCTTGAATTCAATGATTGAAACTCCTCTGGATGGTTTTCCAATAAAGAAATTGCGTAATTAAAATCGTAAAATTTTAACCCTGCATAATATTTTTGAAAACTAGATTGACTAGACGGCGGTTATTGTTATTTTTGAATATTTAAATAATCATCCTTATTTAACAACTTTACCACTTTTTATGAGGATTTTTTTGATTTCTGTTGTTCAAAATGATTCTGCCTGATGCGCTAGGCGATGATTCTTATTTTAAACACTAAGGCATAGTCTTGTGACAATCAATAATGACTCGCATGGATTTGGATTGTAAATAGGGTAGGTATATATAGTAGGAGTTAAATATAATAATGTATATTTGATAAAAATATAAATAAACAAAGTAAAATGACGAAAAAATAAACAAGTACATGGCATTCTGACTAGAGGGATGACTAAAATAAAGATACACGAAAAACTCAAGATCGGTAGGTGACTAGCACAATAATATTTTTATACATCACTAAGTAATTTCTACAAATACACACAATTCAATAAATATAAAACTTAGATCGCCTATCTAAGGATAACAATTTTTGGACACTGTGCGATAAAGTAAAATGCTAACATATATTTTATATATTTAATTTAAAAGAAGTTTATTCTCAACTTCAACGGGAATGTAATATAAATAACACATAAGAATATAGTTTACCTTAACGCAAATATATATATTATATAGAACCCGTATATTAATAGTTTTAACGAATAATTTTGTTTGTGCCCCGATTCGAACCGAGGCAGTTCTGGAACATCCTAAGAACAACTTCAACTTATTTTATTTTAATATTTTTAACATAATATCGAACTTGCCACGGCTCGAGTCGGGATTTTGATTTTACGCTCATTTCACTTAAATCTAATGCTCATATTTTGTTTTACTTACTCTAAGTACGAATGAACTGACTTCTTAGCCTACAGCGCTAGATCGTGTTTGCTTTTCTAAATTTGGGCTATCGAAAATTGCGCTGGCCGATTTTCAAGAGTGGAATTTTTTTCCATTTTTATTAATAGCCATAAACTTCAGAACGAAGGTGTACAAATAACAATTGAGTGGAATTGCGTCAACACCACATTTTTAAACAATACAAATATAAAGTGGGTGAATATCTTTAGAGTGTGTGACGTATTTTTGAAAAATAAATAAACTAACAAATTCGTCCATGCCTGCGTTCTCATTTTCAAAGGTTGTCTGGAAATTACATGTTTTCAAAACACTTAGTTCGGTTATTTTAAACCCCATTTGAGGTAGGTTTTTATCAATCTTTTTCTAATTCGGCATTGAAATATACTTATGTATATATATTATATTATACGTAAAACAACAATATTTGAAAATGTATAAAAAATTACCTCTTATAAAAGTCACATGCAGGCACAGAGCCTGCAGAACTTTTTTGATATCAATGATTTTATTTAAAATCTGAAAAGGTTGGACTAATCAGAAACATTTCAAACATCTCACGTGACAATTTCGACCAAAAACTCCCCACAGTTTTTCTTCATAGGTTATATATATATATATATATATATATATATATATATATATATATATATATATATATATATATATATATATATATATATATATATATATATATATATATATATATATATATATATATATATATATATATATATATATATATATATATATATATATATAAATTTCTTTCTGATGTCATATTCGATTAGTTTAGAAGTAGAATTCAGGCAAGAACGCTCCCTACAAGATTTACTGTTTGGACGCCATTTCCACTGGCCAGGTTTTAGAAATTGGACATTTGACAAGTTCTGAGCAAGTAATTTGCATAGCCAGATCTCAGTTGAACAAAATTAAGGTTTTAGAAAAAAAGGTTTTTTTTTATAGATTTTGCTTATTTTCTGTCTAATGAGGCTTTTTTTGAGCTTTTTCCATTTCTGTCGCGGAGAGAGCTCTAAAAGTGGATTGACTAGCTTAGTATAAAAACTCACGAAATATAAAGTTCGATTTGTAGTTTATTAATAAAAAATAAAGCTAAAATGAAGAAAAAGAATAACTACTAGTAATTATTAAGAAACGTAGCAACAAGACTAACTAAAAAATAAATAATTTTACTTAAAAAAAACTTTCTGCTCTTAACGTTGCTTACTAGTATTATTATAAAATGAATAAAAATAATAATAAAACAAATCCTGTGATATTAAATTAAATTTTAATTTTTCTCCTCAATATAGGAAAAAGAAATTTAAATGCATTTTGTAAAAAAAATAGTAAACATAAAAAAGGCTTTCAACTAGGATTAAGGATTTTTAGGATTTTTTATCGCGAATAAGTGATACATTTGATCAAAATCAGTAACAATTAAAAAAAAGATTTTTATGTTTATAAGGTTATTTGGTATAATTCGGTTGGTTCAAAATGTAGTGTCAACGAAATTTTGACATGCATTAAATTTGATTTTACACTCTTCGCTTTAAATATCTAAAAATAACGTTTATCTATTGAAAAACTCTGTATATCACCAAAAAATCTAAAAAACTGTTCAACAGTTACGACCCTGAGATTTATTTCAGTAAATGTTCCGATCTGAAGAATTCGGCAAAAATAGGCGCAATTTTCAACATATTTCTACACAAAGTTGATTTCCCAAATTCGATTTGGTCTCGCAGGACGTTGATTTAGGTAAAGGTTCACATTTACAACACACACATAAATTATATGCGCGTATTATTACACACAAGTACAGCTCGCATTGTTAACAATCCCACGTGAGCGTATTCAAATTTTCGGTGGTCTTCCCTTCGAAAAATGCACACCAAAAATTGATTCCGTTCCCGATTCCTTCTTTTCCAACGTTTTTATCGTGGGGTGAATCAAGCAAAATGAAAAAAATTTGCATAATACTCACATACTAACAAGAGAAAATTGCTGGGGTCACATACGAATATAATTTCGTCCCATTGAGTGTGAAAAATTCTTTGTATTAATTTTTTCATGCGAATGCAACTCGTGCATATCCGATTGAATTAATGCTAGTGCGTTGCTAATGGCCGACGATAAATTTCTGGGAAAAAACACAAAATGCGGACCATCTATAACGTCTAACTCTAGCTTATGCTTATATTCTTTCCAGCATTTTCTAGTGATAAAAATTCTATATTCTGTGTTCTTGATGTTTTAATTAATCATTCCGAGAATGCATCAGTTGCATTTGAATCAATGAATAGTAACAAAAAGGGATTTATACCTTAACAAATACTTTTCCAATTTACAGGATTTCGCATGGATTTGGACAACCGGTATAGGATTCGTAAGCAGTGATATTTTAAATTGAAATGATATGCATAAAAGCGAGGGTCAGGCTTTTAAAAATATTGAACGTAGAACAGATGCATAGAACTGCAAAAAATAGGGGAAATTGTATAAAAACCGGGGGCACATTGACCAGCAAGAGCAGCTGTTTACGGAATCTAGGAAACACAAGGGACATCACTTTATAATGGCCTAAAGGAATCAACAACGATATTTGAATGCAAATTTAAATACGCCCACATGTAAAAAAGATCGCATGTATTTGTACTTAATCAAGTAATGTTAAACATAGATATTCTTCATAGCACCCAGGCTTAATTTGTTTAATGAAATCAGCAGGTCATTTGCAATTACCGAAGGCACACAGCTTAGTATATTATAACTAGTAATTAGCAAAAGGTAGTCAGTTTTGTACTATACAATAATTTAAACAATGTGTGATCAGTTACCTATTCGAAAACATTTAACAGCATTTCAATTTCAATTTTTGTATTTATTAGATATTTTCGAATATTATGTTCTAGATTGGAACGATTTACAGAAAGAGCATGGAACAGAGGGACTTGCAATTCGAAAATATGGCTCCGATAGCATAACAGTGTTTCAAAACCAAGGGGCCAAAATTTTCCGATTTTCAAATAAATCTATTTCTTAAAATCAAAACTTACATTGACAAAAATATCGAACAAAAATGCCTCTTTGCTTAGAAAATACAAGAAATTGATTTTGTTTTATCGGAAATTAAATTTGGGTATATATGAAAAAAATATGATGGTATTTTTGCAAAAAAGTGTGTGCAGGTAGTGCCATCTACAACTTATTGCAAAACTCGTACCCACATACGAATGTTTGTTTAAAATTTTGAACGTAAGTAACAAAAAACGAAAAAATAAAATTATTTTTTCGCCTTGTATCTCCGTAAGTTTTTACTTTAGGTTACAAATCGAAATATTTTAATACAAAGAATATGCTGGTAATGGTTTTGAAACCCCTGTATGGTACGCACTACACTGGGGGTATTCTAACTTCTTTATTAAAGGCAATTGATAAAGTAATCTACAGGATTTGCTAACTATTTCTTTCAAAATAAATATACCACTGAGCGTCCCAAAAACGTCGTAAAAATCCTGAATGTATTTTTTATTTGTTTTTGTCCAGTTTGTGTCGACAGACGCAATTGCGTTGATCGGAGTTTAATTTCAACTTTGGTGTTACTTTCTTACTGTAAATACGTTTAATGTAAGTAATTTTTATGTATATCGATTTAGGTACTCGTTTAAAAAAATATGTTGTCACCTGAGAAAGGAAATTCATCGCGTAAATATTACTAGCCATAGTTTTCTGGCAAACCCCGTCTTTTTTAAGATGGTGATTGCTGTAGAAGTGCTGTCTAAGTAATATGTCATCAACTAAGCGAATTTTGATTTATACTGGAAGAACCGAAACTAGTAGTAATGAAACAAACCACAAGCAACTGATGATTGGGCCACAATATGAATGTAATTTGATTTGGTTTAGGTGACATGCCTCTCTCCAATAATCCCACTATAAAACAGCATGTCAAGTTCTGTTGTTCTTCAGAAATGGAGCATTGGGGCCCATTTATATCATAAGATTTTTTATTATAAATTGATATTACCCTACTTCTATGTATACTACTAGTCAGGAACTCGATAGAGGAAAGTTGTGGTCCAGGTCTTTCTCAAGGCCTTTGCTTGGACCAGTGAGGCTGATTGTATTCGTTTCAGCTAAACCCTGAGTTTTATGGACTGGGCATGCGAATGGTTGAAATCCATGATGCATCTTAGTTGACCTAAAATTCATCTTCCGATGATTTTCATTTCAACTAAGATGATCCCGTTGTTTACATATTTTACTGACAGTTGAGCAAGCTACACCTACTAACTTAACACATACATCTTTGTGAACTAATATAGTATTTTTTATATCGAGATATAAAATAGGAACTTCTTTAAACATCACCTAAAGCTTTCTATCGTACAAAACATCTGTATCTCGATACATGTCAAGTGAAAATCAACATATCATATATAAAAATTTCACTCAGTCTTTCTGTATTTGCATAAAAATATGTGCTCATATGATCCTCGTAATATACGAGGCGACTTGCAAATATAGGAATACGCTTACTTTATAATATATTTTATACTTTTAAGATTATACAATAATTAAGTAAAATTAAAATAATAAAAATCACAGGTGTTGTGGAATCGCCATCGATTGGTTTTAAAAAAATATAACACATCTATGCAAAACTACGAATGCGGGATTACTATATAACCTAGTCAAATAAGACGCTTAGGATCGCGACTTACCCGATCCTTTATTCTAGCTTGGGCAGTTAAATTTTGCAAATATAATGACGTTAAGAACACGAAAAAACAATTTTTCGTTCCAAAAATTCCATCAGATTTATTCTGTCAGTTCTAGTTTTCGAGATACAAAAATAATGGACAAGTCAGAAAATTGGAGTCTAATTAACCAAATATATACTTCTCACTATACTATTCAATTTCAATTTTTTTAAATTATTTATAAGGAAATACAAGTTTTCATAGAACAAGAATCCCTAAATGGTAATCCGTATTTAATACACCAGAAAAAAAAGATCAAATAGAAAAAATAAAATAAAACAAGATATTAAAAAAGGTATAAACCTCAGTCAACATCAGCCTGAAAACAAATTGCTTAGGATGTTGGGTAAAGCAGGCAAGGCACTGCCTTGAGAGTCTATCGGTGGTCGTTATAAATAACTTGACCAGATAATTTAGACACATTTTAAGTATAGTATAGTAGTATAACATTAAGAAACTTTTGAAGAAGTTAAGTTATAACAACAAAATAGCGTAAATCCCAGACAACAACAGAAAAACCCGTATTAATGCTCTCTGGACTCTGTTATAGAAGATTCTGCCATTTCCCTAATAAATGAAGAAGCGGATAAAGTGCAGTAACAAAGACTCTTCTTGAAGGAATCGGTCATTGGTCATTGGTAGTTGCACTAGTTTTGGAAAAAATTAAATACGAACAACAACAGTTAGCAATTGCAACATGAGTGTTAAAGTTCACTACCTCTACAGTGGTGTGGATGTCTTTAAAGAAAACTTACGTGATTGCAGTGAAGAACAGGGGAAAGATTCTATCATGTCATTCTAACTATGGAAGTAAACTTAATTCTATAAAGTCAAATAAGAGAAAACTTTTAACTATCTCAAAAACTAGATCTGATAGAGAAAAAATTAGGGCTCTTTTGGAGTCTACATCCAAAAATTATCCAGGAACAGTAGAAAAATTTCATTTGAAATCATCCGTTTGTATAGATGAAAATTATATTTTTCTTAATCTGTTACGGGTAAATTGCTCGCTTAACTGAGACCACCACCCCACTAAAAACTAGTATTAATACTTTGATTTTGATTATAGTTTTCACTTTTTTGAGAGCTATTTATATATATCACAATGCCAAAAAGAAATTTTAACTCTTTCCCAGTACCACGAAAATATTACGCTTACACATCGAAATGAAATGAAATTAGTAATTAGCGATAGAATCTTATTTGACTAGCCAATGACATCGGGGGTTAGGCGGGGGTGAGAGTGAAGGTAACAGTTAAAGGGGCGGGTTGTTTTTGAAGCATGGGCAAAAAAACAACGGATGGAAAAACCCTTCGCTCGGACGTAGAGTCTTCTAAAAGAAAAGCTTGCATCACATACCCAGAAGAACCTGTGGCGTTGTCCTCTTGTCCCACCTCTGGACTCTGCTGAGGAAGGGCGTAAGTTGTGGGCAACTGTACCTTCTTGGCCACATCTTTCAGACTCTGACTGACTTCCAAAGGTAATTCGGTCACGCTTGACTTCGTTGGAGTTTTGGTTTGCTTGGTAGACGACGACTCTTCTTCGAGATTTTCCTGAGTTGGAAGCTCTGAATGATTGGTGCCGTTGAACAAAGGAGGAAGAGGCAAAAAGGGGTGCTGGGTGAACATATGACGTTGGAACAATTCCCTTTCCAGAAACGACTGCGGACACACCGGACATTTGATCGGAACATTATCCGCACCACACAGAGTGTGCGATCTTTCGTGGATAAACAGTAACGGTAGCAGTGGTGACGTGAAAGGGCAATAAGAACACTGATACGTTTTCGTATTTACTTCATCAGATCCGAATATACTCGACAGTACATTTTGAATGCCCACTTTTTTCGGAGGAGGAAACTCCTGGCCTCCGTTTGGAATTTTCAAATTCGGACTGGACCTTTCGGTTTTGATCGCTTTCGAAATTTTCCCGGTCTGAGCGAGACTTTGCTGCAGCTGCTGCTCCAATTCCGTCCACTTTTCTACCCCCGTCTGGCCGTGGTCGCTTATCAAATGAGCCTTCAGCCATTTCGTGCTTCTAAACCGACGGCTGCAGATGGGACAAACTTCGGTGAAATGCGTAAAGTAACGATGACTTAAGTCGGCTAAGTCTCCGGGTTTTAAAGCCGGATCCGGTTCTTGTACCGGAGGCGGTTCCCCTTCGACTTTCCTCGGCTGCAACAAACTCGCGCCATATTCAACGATACCGTGTGTGTTATGCTTGTGGACTCGTAGGAAATATTTACTGCACAGCTCTTTGTTGCAAATATCGCAGACCACTCCTCCGATCTGAGCGCCATTTTCGATTTCTATCCCGTGCATCCTTTGCATGTGGGTTTTCATGAAGTACTTGTTGCACAGTTCTTTGTTGCATATCTCGCAATAACTGCTAGTAGGTGTGACGTTCACGGAAAGCCTCCGTTCAGGGACGTGATTAAAAATCCTGCCGCCTTTATCTGGAGCGGTGAACTCTTCTTCTTTACTCCCTTCCGCGTTGGAATGAGCGTCCAAGATGTGCTTCTTCATTTCTTCGGCGTTTTGCAGGTCTTTCCCGCACAAATCGCACATGGTGTTGTTGTTGCTGTTCTCCGAATCACCACCCTTATCAAAATCGGTGACGTCGTCTAAAAGCATACCGTGCTCCGTCACCATATGAGCGTGCAAATAAAACCTGTTCTCGAACTCCTTATTGCAGGTGGCGCAGCTGGTAGACACTTTGGTGACGTCCAATTCGTTCAGCTGCATGATCATCGTCTGCAGTTTCTGCAAGTCCTCGCTAATGGCTTCGGTGTTTAAAGTTTTCTTCGACTCTTCGGAGGAAACGTCCGGATTGTCGGCGACTTCTTTCGCCGCCATTTTACCGTGCACCGTCAGATTGTGCAAGTGAGCGAGGCTGCTGTTTTGGAATCTGATTCCGCATAGGTCGCAGCTTATGTCGTTCGGTGAGGTAGTTTTGCGGTCGTGGAGAGAAGACTGCTCAGTCATAATTAAATTTAAAGGACTAGTTTGTACACTTGAAGGCCATGAATGGCTTCCCATCCCTTCGAACTTCGCGTCCCGCTCATCCGGTATGTAAATCCCGTGACGTTTCATCTTGTGGGTGCGCAGGAAGTACTTGTTGCAGTATTCTTTGTTGCAAATCTCGCAGAAAGCTTTCGGATTCATCACGCCGATCTTCTTTAACCGTTCGGTCTCGCGACTGGATTGATTGGCGGAATCGAAATAAGATGATTCGAATTCGTTTTTCACTGAGGTAGATTCGGTTTGCGTATTACTAGGACTAGAACATTCTTCATTGGTTTGGTCTTCTGTATTCAGTTTGTCGCTCTCGCTAGACGATGACGGACCGTCGATTGGCATTGCGGAATAAGGGTTGATTAAGTTCGAAGGCGGTTTGGGTTCGGTTTTAACGGGTAAATCTAAACTTGGCACGGATGAAGGTAGATGTTTGACGTTTCCTGCGAATGGTATAGCAGCGGAACTCGGCAGCTCGGTCGACGGGATGTCGCTGTATATTCCGTGTTTGTTCGCTTTGTGGGTCTTTAAAAAATACTTGTTACAAAACTCCTTGTTGCACAAGTCGCAGTACGCGTCGGGATTGAATATTCGTATAGGTTTCATTTGTATGTTCTCGGGAGGAGTGAACTGAGACATGGCCATAAATACCGGATTGGCAGTACTGAACGGTAAGTTTTGCACGTTGTATTTGTCCGCACCCCACTGCATTTCCGTTCTGGGCATCGTCAAACACAGCGGCGTCTCTCCGAACGAAGCTAACGGAGCGATATCTTCTTCAGGTTCGCGTTTAAATTCCGTAGAGATATGATTTTGAACTTGCTCGGTGCTTTCGAACCCCAGCCTCATATCGACTTCAGACGACTGCTTACCTCCTAATTCGTTTACAAATATCCGAATCGGAGTCGATTGCTTTCGTCTCTTTTTGCAAGTGTCGGACGAAGACGATAAACTCAGGCAACGCTTTTGATTTCGCGCCGCCTCGAAATCCGATTCGCTATTTGATAACTCTTCGCGCATTGAGGAATAAACTCCGTGCAAAGGGCCGGTGCTGGAGGGTATAGTGACGGATGTCATCTTTGCTACTTGTAGGCGACATGCAATATTCGTATAGGTCCCTGGAACAAGAACGAATCTCCATTTAGCTTATCAATAGACAGTTTTTTTTATTCACGGCTATCGAAAACCCTAATCATTGTCCGTGCCTTTATTTGCTTTGTACGTCCAACGACTCTTAACAGCACTTTATTTCCAATAAATCATACGATATGTTAATTACAGGGGACGTAAAAACTAATCTTAATTCTACTAATTTTATAACTACGAAAAGAAAGAAAAAAGAATAGAAAAGGATAATTACATTCATTAAAACATAAATCACAGTGCGATGATAATTTCAAGTTAACAGACATTTTGAAAATGAAAATGGGCGATTCTGTAATGAACTAATTTGCAGAGAAATGACGCAGATTGCAAGTCTCTGCGTAGATCTCAGACGGAGTACAGCGTAGAAGATCATGATCAACTCCCCTCCCAGGATAGGAACCCATTTCCCTTAATATTAGATACTTCAGTAACCTTTTCCATACCACCGGAAGAACAGAAGTACAAAAATGCCTGCAGTTTCTTATTACGAATCTCAAAATTCGCATTGCATTAATGTGAGGTGGTAAGACACCACATTACATTTGCTGATGTTAAGATCATTCATTAGTACACCACTGACCGACAACATTAACGTTGGCCTAGAGAGTTGTGCAGTCCGTACCGGTTTTGAACATAGGTGCGTGCATAGATAAGCTTATATTGAATATATTTACCAGAAGTGGCCCAAGCTTAGAACTTTGAGTCACACCAGAAGTTTGAACAAAAGGAGCTGAGACAACCAAACGCTTTGTGGAAGTCAGCGTATATAACGTCAACTTGACCTGGCTTGTTCAGGCAGGGAACATAAGTTGGTGATACATGATCTTCTGGCATAAAACCAAGTTGTTGCGAATTTAAGCAAAGATAAATTTATGTAATCTCTAATATTTTCGAAAAATTGCCTAAGTTCGAAATACGTCGGTAATTTTCAACTGCTGGTGCTCTATCTGCCTAAAATATTTTCAAATATGCAGTGTTGCTGCTTCTATATAAAGGTCTCCACATCTTTCTAACTTTAAATGGTAGATATATTATTCGATTTTTAGATTCTGTGCAAGAAATGCAGTAGATTTTTTCCAGTTTTCCCTATACCCATGTCGTATCGTTATAGAACTAAAAAATTATTTCATAAATTTTTAAGCCATTGAAGAAATTTTACTAAGTCCGTGTTTTAATTGAAAGCCGAACACTTTTTTTATGAGCACGTTCATTTTCCAATTTTTCCTTATATCTATTTCTTACCGTTTTTGAAATAAAAATTAATTTTGAACAGGCAAGCAATTTATTACATTTTATTAAATTATTATAAGTAAAATAGGAAATGAAAATGAGGTTTTAAAGTGTTATACCAAGTAAAAGTCATGAAAATTATTTTTTATTTTAATCAAAGTAAGTAAGGTTATAGGCAGATTTGAACAAAGTTCATCAAAATCTTATTTTTAAAACACCCGATGTGTTGCATCCAAAATGGGATGCCAGGAAGGTTTGAAGGTCGAAATTGCTTAAAAATTTAGACAGTTATTTATTTCTATACCCCAAATAAAATTTACTTCTAAAAATTAAATGATATGCCAGGGCTATATCATTATTATGAGGTTTAAGTTCAAAAAGAGTTAAACAAAACTGAAAAATTAAATGAACAATTTAAAAAACTTCTGCAAGGATCTACCAGGATAAAATTAGCGTTCATACACCGAAACTCTTATCCTAATAATAATAATTTTTATATAGTTTGATAAATGTCATTTCAGTCACGAATTTCATTTAGTAGACGAACTACAGGACATTTTGCAAAAGCCGTGACTAACGTAAAGTTTTTTGTCATTTAATGTTTATCATGTTATCAGTTTTATAATAAAGTTATTGCCCACTTCAGATATAATATATAAGATAATTGTAGATACAAGATAATTACCATTTTAAATACAGCCTCAGAGTGTGTTCACTAAATCATATACCTTCACCTTTATCGTTTCCTTCTTATTACTTTTACAGTAGTCGGTGGCAGTTTATTATTTTTATTAATCATATCATTACTTAAGTACTAGACATCTACCATTGGAAAAAACAACATAAATAATTTTTGCGTTTGCAAAAATATTGTTTAATGAAGTTTCTTTTATTGCTACAATAGATATTAGATAATATTATGTAGATATAGGATAATTACGGGTTTAAATCCAGCATCAAAGCATGTTCAGCAAATCATACTTATCTTAACCTTTTCCTTCTTATTCTTTGTACTAATCTGATCACTACTTAAGGACTAGATATCTAATATTGGAAAAAACAAAACAAATAATTATAATTTCTTATTTAATTTTTGATATATTTTATAGTTTTGCATAATATTATATATATAAATATTATATAAATTATAATACTATAGATATGCAGATATAAGATAATTATGGGTTTAAATGCAGCCTCACAGCACGTTATTTCTATTTTAAGAAATGCAGATTATACTTCTAAAACGACTTGAATATTATTAGTAATTTCATTGCAGACCTTTCGGGAAATATCTATTATTAGGTATACAGAGATACTTAATAAAAGATGTTTATTAATGTTACAGAACGTGGCTTCAAAACATCCCTTTAATGAAAAAAAAAACCTATCAACGGCCTCGGGACGTAATGAAATAAACTCGACACATTTCGTATTAATTAGAAATGCGGGTGTTAATAAAAGTTTCTGTTATTGTCGGGACCCCTGTCCGTGCACTTCACGATTTCAGTCGATATTTGCCATTTCTCGTGGAAACTGACTAAATAGCGAAAACGTACAAAGGGAGAGCGATTTCTAAAATGAGGGAAACGTAGCATGAATCATACTTCCTCGCTAGTTCTTACTCAATGGCGCGTCTAGGCTATTTTTCCGAAAAGGGGCTTTATTGGTGTTAATACACTAATGGATTTTTTCAGCCCTCGGCGTCCAATAAGCTTTTTTAATTAAAAAATATCGACCGACGTTCATTTAAAATAATCTCTTACCCTTCTTACAACGTTAAATCGTATTTTCGTGAAGAAAACACCACTACCATCCTTAAAATAGGACTCCGTGTTTCTAATTTCGTATCAAATTGCCAGTGATTGAATTTTTCTTTAGACTATAAGTATATCTTCGGGCTATGTAGTGCTAAAATCGAATTTTCTAACTTTAAGAAACCTTTTAGCGCTCAATTTAGCAGAGATGAGATATCGAAAAACAATCGGTATCGCATAACCCCTCCCGATGGTTAAACCCAATCGAAATAACGAGAAATATGTTTTAAAATTTTAAAAGACCCCGCTTTGTCTGATTCGAGTTTTCCACAGAGTTTTCCTTGGAAAATCGAATTTTCTTTTTGCGTTTCAACAACAGATGCTGCAATTTTTCATTTTCTCATTACCTTTTTACCCATATTTGATTTTATTCTACATTTTGTAGAAACATTTTTAAACGTCTTCATATACAGAACTACGGATCCACCAAAACGGGCGTAATATGAACACAAAATTTAACAAAAAGGCAAACATGAAAGAATTTAACAATATTAACAAACTTGCTACTAAATCCCAGGATCATGTACTCAGCTCGAAGAGCAAAACATCGTATAAGCAAAGAAGGCATATACAATCCCCCTACGGATTGCTTAGAAAGCTCTACCCAAATCGTGATAAAATGGGTTGCAACATTAAATTATCTCTGTATATCCAGGTTATCATATGTTGATTCAGTTTATGATAATTTAATGACTTAAACTGTCGAAAGTTCTGAATACTTGCTTCAGATTAGAAAATATGAACGTCTGAAGCTTAAATTTCTGATATACCTTCAAATGCTTTCTAACAAAAACTATTAAAAACCATTTGTCTTCAAGATTGTATCTTTTAGGGAGCTAATAATATTATTTAAAAGATCCTTTTCATACAAAGTTTGTAAAATCATCCATAAATTGCGAGTACAGTTTATAAATGACTTTTCGTTACTTAATTGCAAAAAAAAGTTATAAACATTTCTTTTTGATAATGACAACGGCTCATAACGATATGACTTGTACAAAGGATTCCGAATGTTTCTGGATTGTTCAGATTGACCTTCCATGGTACATATTTTTTGTTTTCTCAAGTTCCTTAGGTTAAGTTTAAAAGCGCCATTTTGGTGATACGTTCTACATTATAAATGCAACTTAGCCTATTCTAAGTACTATTATATCAAATTTGGTTTCAAAATTACTTCGCTATTACCGATTTTTTATTGAATCAATTTATCTAAATAATACGCCACGAAACAACGAATATCAAAATAAAATTTTCAAGTTTTCAAATAGAATTTCATAGAAAATCTTAAGTACATCCCTGTACATTTTTAATGCCATCTTATTCTACGTTAAATCGCATATTAGAAGTTGACAATTACTCTGCACATAGCGATGTTTTTATTAATTCATGTATTAGAAAAACAATATATACAGTTCAAATTTCGAAAAAAATATCTTTTGGCGCTTTAGCCAATAATCTCGTTGATATATAAATAATTTTTGCAGAAATTAGATTTAAACACCAGAGCAGCATAGAGTTAAATTATTTGCAATTATTGTATATCCTACACTGGTAGGCGCTTTCCTTCTGCTGGTTGTTTTGAAAACCAGTCGATGGCTTATCTGAGTTGAGTGTTAAAGGATATTCGTCCAAATGAAATTTTCCAAACATTGCTTTCAAAAAACTAGCCAAAAATGGTATGCCCGTATTTTTATTCATTTTTGAGATATTGATCGCCGAAGGAAGTGAAAGGTAGAACGAAAAATGAAATGACAAAGAAGACAGGACCCTTAAAATATATATGTCTTATATGTTCACTGATATAAGGGAAGGAGAAAAGAAAAGGGCTGCTAATGACGAAATCATTAAATATTTGTGAGAGTGGACCGGAGTCATAGGCGGAGTGGACTTTTTTTTGTAGTGTTATTCGCATTTTAGCAGAACAC